AGATAGATAGATAGATAGATAGATAGATAGATAGATAGATAGATAGAAAGAAAGAAGATAGATGATAGACAAATAGACAGATAGCTAGACAGAGAGACAGACGAAGTTCCTTGGGAAATGCTGAGTCTTCCTTGTGCACAACTGTCCTGATGTCATCACTCTTTGTCTCTGGTCCTCACCTGAAATGTTTCCACAAATGTGTAACAGGTTCTTGCGTACACTACTACCTTAAAGAGATATGAGAAGAAGATAGCAAGAGTGGGCCTCTGATGAGCCCAGAGTAGCCGAGATTTTTTTGGATGCAAACCCTTACATAGCCCAGACTGGCTTCAAACACACTGTAGGTGAGGATGACTCACCTTCTGATCCTCCTGCCATTCTCTCCTGAGTGCTGGGATTGCAGGCATACACTGACACCTGTCTTTATATAGCTCTGGAATGGAACCTGGGCCTCTGTGTCTGGGTTAGGCCCTTGACCAATTCCCCAGCCTCCTGCAGCCACATTTTGTTTTTTCACGTTTATGTTTTGTTGGGGCGGGAGTGGGTTACCACAGCACACTGGAGGAACTTGTGGGAGTCAGTCCTCGCCTTCCGCCACGTGGGGATTAAACTCAGCTCATCACCTCATAAGAGCCCTTATCCACAGAGCCATCTCACCTCAGAAGAAAACCTTTAGGAGGGACTCACTCCTCGCTTCTCGGATATATTGTCCTATATTGTATGTTCTGGGGCTGGAGAGATGGCTCGGTAGTGAAGAACACTACATTCTGCTCTCACTGGGGACTGACGTGTGGCTCCCTGCAGCCATGGCAGGAGCTCACGGGCGACTGCCTGCGCTGCAGCTCCAGGAAATCCTACAACCTGTTCTGGTTTCTGACACTATTTAGTTCCAGCTGCCTGCACATGTTCGCATACACACGTAGATACACACACACACAGAAATTTCAAAAGTCAACAAATTTCATGTCCTGGTGCTGCTATGATTGTTTCTTAGACCATTTGAAAACCCCCGAGTTCTTCTGATGGCTCTTCCCTACCGTCACCCCTATATGTGCTATTACTCATGGCCGGGTGATTTTCCAGTTTCCTCCTTTTTTCTTCTTCCTCCTCCTCCTCCTCCTCCTTCTTCTCTTTTCTTTGAAACTGGGTTTAACTGTGTAGTCCCAGGCTGGCCCGGAACTTGTGATTTCCTATGTCTTCCTGCCAAGTCAAGGAAACAAACACATATATCACCATGCCTGGCTTACAGCCTTGATCTCTGTTGTGACTTTTCTGTGCTAACCTGTGTCTCCTGGCCAGGAGAATAGATACTGAATTTATGGAGGTGATTTTGGCTGAGAATAAGTAATTCCTAAGAGCCCAAGGTGCTATAAGGGTGCATTAGCTACGTTCCTCAGTGCTGTGACACAGTAACCAACAAAAGGCAGCTTAAGGAAGGGTTACTTTAGCTCGGGTTTCAGAGGGACAGTCTGCCCGGGAGGGAAGGCATGGCCACAGGAGTGTGAGGCGGCTGGCCACTCGGGATCCAGTCAGGAAGCAGAGAGGTGAATGTGCTCAGCTCGCCTTCTTATTTCACTGCTGAATACGTGGGCTAAGGGATGGAGCGTCCACATTGGGTGAGGCCTCCCACCTTAATTAACAAAATCTAGAAACTCCCTCACACATGCCCAAGGTTAGGTCCCTCGGGTCTGACCATGCCTGTTAACCGCCACGGAAGGCTGCAGGCCCTGCTTAGTGATTGAGCGCCCACTTCCTGTACAGAGAGGCCCTGAATTCATCCAGCACCACCTGCCAGACCCTTTTTTGTCATGGCACTGTTTTATTTCCACATGGGCTCCAAAAGTCCAAGACATCACTATTTTTTTTTATCTGCCTGTTCTTAGAAGGCTGTGTTTGCCGTGGAGGGGATGAGAACACTTCCTCTTTCCTTTAAGTTCCACTTGACACACAGAGACAGAACGCCTAGCCCAGCCTAGAGCTTCGTCAGAGCAGTCCTACCTGTGTGAAACTAAGGCGCAGCATGTCCTCTGTCTTCCAGCTGACGTCCCAGCACCCTTACGCAGAAGTCTTCATCGGCCGGCCGCACGTCTGGACCGTGGACCTCAACAATCAAGAGGAAGTAGAGGATGCAGTGAAAGCCATCTTAAACCAGAAGGTTGCTGCTCCCGGGTTGTTTGTTTGTTTGTTTGTTTTTCCTGCCTGCCTGCATTTGACCTATGACCTGGAACACATGCAGAACATTGCAGTCCCTTGCTCTCAGGAAACAGAGCTTGCCCCTATTAGTTGGGCCAGACCATAGCCTGGCCATAGCAGCTGGCCTGAGGATTTCATGGAGGCTCTGGGAGATATAGAATGGCTGGTGGCAGATGTGGCTTTGGGGCTTACAGACCCTGCTGACAGGCCTTCTGGGCTCATGGGTCTCAGGCATGAAGAGAGTGGCTTAACTCATACCTGCTCACATGATCTCATCCTATCCTTGAAGAGATTTGAAAAAAAAAAAAAAGTGTTGCTTCTCTTACCTTACCCAAAAGGACAAAGGTTATAAGTAGGGGCTTTCTGCGTTTCTTTGTTTTGTCTTAGTGTGTCTGTATGAACATGTTGCTGTGAGCATGGGTGTATTACACATGCGTGTGTCTTCTCTGGCTCTCCACTTCGTTTTTTTGTTTGTCTGTTTGTCTGTTTGTTTGTTTGTTTGTTTGTTTGAGACATGGTCTCTCACTAAGCCTTTGGCCCATTGGTTTGGCCTGCCAGGCTGGCCTGTGCACTCCAGGAACCACCTGTCCCCACCTCCACAGCAGGACTTCAGACAGGCCCCCTCCCACAGGTTTTCACACAGCTGCTGCAGATCTGAGCTCAGTCCTCACGCTTGCACCACAGTAGCCGAGCAGTCTCCACAGCCTTCTAGCTTCCTACGGTGTGTGCTGTTTATTTTTTCCTACCTAAATCTTAGGTAGGAGCGCTGCGTGGTCACGGCGCTTCGCCCCTCTGTTTCTGTAGCATTGAGTGCTTTGGATGCATTCGCACCTCGCCTACCTTACAGACGAGCTTTCTGTTCCTCCGTGTGCCCTCAGAACAGTGACCGTGTATTTATCAGACCTTTGCTAAGCCCTGAACCCTGCCCCGCCCTGGATGTGATCCACAGCCACGGTCTTTGCCCCACACATCTACCTGCCAGCAGGCGATGAGATCCAACTTTTGGAAGGCCCGACGAGTGCTTTACACCAGCCAAGTGGTTCCCCACCATACACCGTCCAGACAGCCTTAATGGATGCCTTTTTCTTGCCATTTTTTCACACATCTGTATCTGATAGCTTGTCCAGGGTCTGGGGAGGAGCACAATAAGGCCTGAGCCCTCCCTGTCCAGTGCCAGGTCTGTGGTTTTAACACCTGCCGAGGCTCCCCTCTGGTGTGGGAGAGCCTTGTTTCAGCTCAAGTCGACACACAAAGGCAGAACGCCTAGTCTAGCCCAGAACTTTAGCTGAGAAGCCCTGCATGTGTGAATATAAGCTATAACTTGTGTGTGTCAGTGGAGGCCAGTGAGTGCCTCAGGTCCTGCATCCCTTTCACGGTGCCCTGTTGTTCCTGCAGATTGAGCCGTATATGCCGTACGAGTTCACGTGTGAAGGCATGCTGCAGAGGATCAACGCTTTCATCGAGAAACAGGTAAGGCCCATCAGAAGGGTCTGCCTTTGCGGGCTCCCAGCTCTCACTCGCTGCTCTTCTGCGGCTGCTTGCCCTCAGGTGTCTCCACCATGACTTGTCATGTTGCACTGTCATGATCATCCACGGGAAACCAGTCCTCCCTTGGAGTATCCTCTTTGTGACAATGAAAGGTCATAGGAATACTTAGAACGAGACATTTGAGTGGTCCAGATGGGGACCTCCCTGATCTCTGGCTTGTCAGATTCAAAACATCTTGAGGACCCACGAAGGTTGAAAAAAAGGCAAGTGGCTTTCAGTCCTTTCATTTCTTACACCACGCCCTCATCCCCCAAAGAAAGTATTAGGGTCTGGAAAGATAGCCCCACTCAGTGAAATGCAGGGTGAGGATCTCAGCTTGATTCCCAGAAACAACATCTAGAAAGCCAGGCACGGAAGTACAAACTTGTAAGCTCCAAGCTAGGATGGGGAGATCCTAGGATTCACTGGCCAGCCAGCCTAGCCCAGTTGGTGAGCTCCAGGCCAGTGAGACGCCATCTCAGAAAGACAGGGGGGCCAGAGCCTGAGGATTCACATCTGATGTTGTCCTCTGGCCTGTACATGCACACATGGATACACACACACACACACACACACACACACACACATACAAACATAAATGCTGGATTCAAGTCTACATTTCCAAAGTGTTTTTTAAAGGGTATAAGTGCAGCAAGTCTTAGGCCTCTTTAGTGGTTTTCAAACTGGGCCCCTTTTCAAGTAAAACCAAGGCATCTGTTCTCAGAGGTGAAGGGTATCACCCTCACTGTGGTCCTTTATGATGTTTTAATTCCTTGGGCTTCAAAACCAACACAGACCCAGAAATAGACAAAGTCAGGCCCCCTGTGGGTAGGGGAAGCTGAACTTCTGCCCAGCCCAGAAAATGGGGTTCTCTTTATGGGACAAAACAATATTTAAGGATGATCAAGGGCTCTTTGCACCATGGCGATAAGAACTGTAGGGCTGAAAATAGAAACAGTATGGGAGAAACATAAATCTAGGCAGCCCAGGGGCACTGCAAAGGAAGCTGTGGTTCAGGGAAGCTGAGGCTCTGGAGCCGGGGCTTTGGGGCACTGATCAACTGGGCTGTGGGGGGATGAGGCAGGTTGACCTACAAAGGTGTGTGCATATGGGTGCGTACTTACGTGCTGAGGTGCTCATGGCATGCATACATGGAGAGCATGGAGAGGGTCAGGCGTCATTCCTTAGGTGCTGGTCACACTGCAGTTCAGCAAGCAGGCCAGGCTGGCTGTCCGGTGAGCGCCAGGGATCCGCCTGTGCTGTGATTGCACAGACCCCACCACCTCTGGCCCTTCACGGGAACTCAGGTCCTCCAGCATGCACAGCAAACGTTTTAGCGACTGAGTCATCTCCACAACCCAGCCACCCGGATCCAACTCTCAGTACCATGAGTTTGTGTTTCTAGGAGTTAAGCATCTGTTACCTTCCTCTCTAAGGATGACAGGGTTCCTCCACAGTGCTCCTGTGAGTTATTGTATGAGCCAGGACCCAGAAAGCACTGAGAACAGGCCTGACATAGCCCTTCGGGGCAGGCTGGTCGGCGCTGTTTAGCACACCATGCTCTGTTGTGGCGTATTGTAACAATTGTATACACTGGGGGCTCAGTGCTTGTAACTCTCGCGCTCAGTCTCCACAGAACACCGAAAGGACAATACTGCCATAACCCTGGCACAGCCTTTTGCCAGTGTGCACATTCAGTGCACCGTCCAGCCCACCCCCAGGTTCCCTGTCCAGTGTCAATCAAGATCCGGGAGGACTAAGTGGGAACTATCGGTTCAGTACAAGAGAAGAAACTGTATTCTTGTGTGCAGAAGACTGCTCTAATGCCCTGCCTTAGCTGTAGTCATTAGTCTCCCGTCGTGAGTAGTGGAGCAGCTTCATCTGAGTGTGTATTCTGGGAGGCCAAGCAGCTGGTGTAGGTTCCGCACTATGCACGGTTGCAGGCGTCCGCCGCCGGCAAGCTGGTGCTCAGCTCGCTTTCTCCTCTTCATTCCCTGGAAGGCGACACCCACATTCAGGGAGGCTCTTCCCACCTCAGTGAGCCTAGTCTAGAAACTCTCACAGACATGCCCAGAGCCTTGTCTTCCGGGTGAGTCTAGTCCCTGCCGAGTTGACAGCATTAACTCCCACAGGGTGGGAGGCTGTGTACCCTCCCACTCCACTCAGTTAGCTCAGGGTGTGTCAGGAGTAGCTGCATAGTGGAAACTGAGGCACACAGTCGTGGGGCACAGGGTGGTAGAGCCAAGACTGTTTACATATGCTTTTTCAGGTGGGTTCTGGTGACCAAACTCAGGTCCTCATGCTTGCAAGGCATGTGCTTCACTGAGTGAACCATCTCTGAGCATTTCTCCGAAGACACCCTCCTAATTCTCACAAATGAGCAATAATGGGGACTATTTTAGTTTATCTCCGGCTCTGTTAGAGCCAAATGTTCCCTCGATGCATGGTAGAATTCCAGACCCCTTTGGATCAGATCAGGTCTCTTATTAGCTGCAGGCCCCGGATCTTAGAGCTTGGAGCCTTCGCTATATTTTTACAGTTTGCAGAGTACCTTCAGAGAGCAGTGAGGACAGAGAGAAGGTGCTTCTTGCCGGAGTGGGAGGCCTGTAGCTTGGAGGAGAAGGTTCCCGCCCTGGGAGCTCTAGCGCTCAAGAGTCAGGGCTCGGCTTCCAAAGTCCTCCACATGGGCCGCACAGAACGTGGGGGCTCTCATCCCAGATCTCTTTCAAGATCGCCCCACCACACAAACACACACTCCCGACAGCAGCAGGAACCGGAGGAGGGTAAATTGACAGCCTTTAGGATCACCCCAGGTCTTAGGGTACAGTTTAAGAGTCACTGCCGGGAGCCCACCTCACACCCAGCCAGCTAAGGTGCAGGGCTTCTCCCCTGTGGGAGGAAGCTGGGTCCCAGGAAAGTCCTTGCTCTTCTCCCTCAGTGCCCTGACCCGCTGCACTAAAGCCGTTCTGTGACTTACCATCCTTGAAATGAGCTCTCTGAAGGAAGACTGGCTCCAGCTCATAGGGAGTTAGCACGAAAGCCAAAATCCCTAGTGGTTGAAGATGCCCTATCCAAGTGTCCAGGTCCCCTTTCTGCATTGCTTGGGGAAGTAACGGGTTTTCCTTCAGGAGAAAGAAGGCAGCTAGAGAAGAGAAACGGGTCATTTTATGCCTCTTATAAATCGTCTAAATATACAGGGTGTGGCCAGAGAAATGGCTCATTTGGTAAAGACTCCTGCTGCCAAACCTGACAGCCTAGTTTGACCACCCAGACCCAGCTGGTGGAAGCAGTTGTCCTCTGACCTCCACACATGTGCCAACACACACACAGTCAAATGTACACAAAATAAATAAAACTGTTTTTAACATTTTGTTTAAATGCAGTGTGGTCAGTCAGTTATTTGGTTATTTGGTTTGAAACAGTGTCTCACGTGTCCCAGGCTACGCTTGAACTTGCTATGTGAACAAGGATGACCTTGATTGGAACTCCTGATTCTCCTGTGTTTTCACAAATGCTGGGCTCGCAGCTGTGTTCCATCATGCCCCATTTATGCGGTGCTAGAATGCGCATGCTTGGTAGGCCCTGAATCAGCCCAGTAGTCCAGCCCCATAGTATGGTTGGTAAGGACTATTTGGTTCACACACAAAGCACCTGACATTGGTCTTGGCCCTTCACACACACGTACACATGTAGAGAGGTGGGGGTAGAACAGAGACACAGAGAAAGAGCATTGCTTTGACTGACAGCTGTGCTGGTACGCTCTTGATCTGTAGTCACTGCGTGACCGTTTTGGAATAGCCAACGCGCTGAGAAGCATGTGCGTCGATGGTAGAGAGTGTCGGAGAGGAATTGAGATGGCGTGTGCCCGAGTGAGCTTGTTAACCAGACTGGCAATGACTGTTTAGCCCTCCTTCTGGCTGTGGAGATGCCTCATTGGGCTGGAATGGCCTCTTTTTCTACTTTACTCCTATCAAAGTCTCCAGGATGCCGAAGTCATGCAGTCCCATTCAGTAGCTCTTCACTGAGCACGATTAGCTGCAGAATGCCATGTCAGTGGGAAGCTGCTAACTCCTATGCGGCCTGTAGAACCTAGCCCACAGGTCCATGTCTCCATGAAGTCTTCCCTGATTACAGCTGCCACCACTCTTCCCCTCCCTGGAGAGCCAGCCCTGTCCGGCCTCCACATGTCCTTCACCATGGGCTTAGGTGTCTTGTTTGCTGTTCTGAAGGAAGTGCCGACCTTTGCTACCAGGTGTCTTGCGCTGCTGGTAGCCTGGGCTGTGGGTGAACGAAAGCCTCCTAATCACCCACTGACCACTGTGCCTGTGGTGAGAGGGGGCTGAGGCCCAGCATTTCCATTCCCACTGTGCCCTGCAAACATCTGAGCCAAGATGTGCTGTCCCAGATGAGCCGTGGCGATGGTCCAGTGACTAAGCGCCGCCGCAGCCCCCGGCTCAGTTACCCTCACAGTCCTTCTTTCCAATCGCTCCGCCTCCCTCTCGCCTCTCAGATGGCCCAGGAGTGAAGGGCAGGTGACACTGTCCCAATTTCCTATATGGATCAGGCAGAGGGAGGCTTTCTGTGACAGCGCAGGCTCCCCCTGATCAGCTTTTACCTTCACACTGTCTGGATGGCTCTGTCAGCTTTGAGATGTGACTGCTGTTTTCACTCTTCCTGGACTTTCTGGCCCCTAGAACAGACTTGTGAGAGGATGCCAGGCCGTCCTGGGCAGGGAGAGACAGGCTACCCGTGTGCCCTTTCCATTCTATGCAGACCTGAGCGAGGCATGGAGGGACCTGGGGAAGACAGCTGCTGTCACGTCAGCTCCACATGCAGCTCCAACTGTCTGAAGCTTGCAGCGACTCCTGCCCTGCTCTAGTATACATACAGGGAACCATTCATCCGGGAAGCCCAGCTTCTCCATACACCTGCCATGCCTTGTCCAAAAACTGTCCGGGGGCAGCAACTCTCCCAAGGAACCTAAAGGAAGTCAATGAATGCCTGCTCGTGGACACCTCTCCACTGAGCCTCTTCATTCTGCTAGTTGCACCACTGTGCCCATGGGCAGGGAGCCCCATGAGACAGGGGCCCTGTGCCCAGAGCTGGGGTTCATGGGGTCAGGCTTCAGACCTGGCCCAGCTGTTTTTCTAACTTCAAACTTAACTTAATAGAAGGTTAAGCATGAATGAAAAGAAATTCTGTAGTTGTTCTGAAACTCACCAGATACAAAGATACAACTAGCAACTGTCAGAGGAGAGGCAGAAGCTATAAAAGCCAGAATCTGAACTTTGAGCCTTCTCGGCTCCCTGTCTCCCCATCCTGACGTAATCTGCTGGTCAGCTCTCCGTAGCCACAGCACGCACCCAAGATGATGAACTTAGGAAAGGATGCTTTCTTTCCGATCAGTTTAAGGTTCTCATCCATGACTGGGCTCCACTGCTGTGCATTTGTGATGAAGCCATACTTCACGGCTGAGCATGTCTCAGAGCAAAACTGCTCAGCTAGGGAACTTAGAGAAGAACCAGTATTTAGGTGCACTTGCTGCTCTTGCAGAAGATCCAAGTTCAGTTCCAAAAACCTGTAACTAACTACAACCCTAGTGAACATAATACTCTCTTCTGGCCCCAAAAGTACACACACACACACACACACACACACACACACACACAGTAAATCTTTAAAAGAAAAACAAAAACTGGTTACCTCATGGATGAAAAACAGGAACTCCTCCATTGCCTCAAAGGCAGGCTCCTAACATCCTGAAGACTAACCCAAAGATTCCCACATCTCCTCCATTGCCTCAAAGGCAGGCTCCCTACATCCTGAAGACTCTAACCCAAAGGTTCTGACATCTCCCAGGAGTGCCTCATTGGAGACCAAACTTTCAACACATGGGCCTTTAAGAACACTCAGGATCAAACTATGGCACCAGGGTTGGGCCTCTCCAGATTCAAGAGACAGGGATTCTCACTCACCTTCTGGTTTCACTGCATTGTGGTCTAGGTGTCCTTGTGCATTAGCTATTGTGATGGTTTTCTAGTCCTGAACTCCAGTCGCCATGGAAACACACCTCTGGGTGGTGTGTTGGTGAGGGTGTCCTCCAGAAAGGTTTGGCTGCAGAGGGAAGAGCCATTCTGAATATAGGTGGTACTAGTGCAGGAAGTGGATAAAAGGGGGAAGCGAAGCGAGCGTAACCATTCTTCCCTCTCAGCGTGCTGGCCATGAGCACAAAGCAGCCAGCTGCCTCGCCCACCTTGACGGCTGGACCATCAGGCTGAGCCAACACAAGCCAAAACTCCCTCTCTTAAGTTGCTTCTGTCAGCGATTTTGTCACAGCCAGCAGTAAAGGAGAATAACTGATGCATCTCTCCTGCCAAATAGCCACCTAGGAGGCTTCGTGCGTGCCGAGTATGTTCAGGGGCTGCGGACCATGCGTGTTTGCCCCTGAGGACTTAGCATTAGCCAGCAAGAGCACACTGTAAGCTTTTCAGATGGCTGTCTGTCTCTCAGCTGCTGGATCTGTCTGTGGTAGCTGATGGATGGGCAGCTGCTCTGCAGGCTTGCCACACACAGTAATGGCAGGGAACAGTGGCCACTAGTTCAGCCTGCACTTCCATTCAGGGAAGTGAGCCTACACAGCCATGCTGTTACTCCTAGCAACAGCATCCAGAGCCACAGGACCGTGCTACCCACGGCGTAGGGCAGTCACGAGCTGAGTGTAGTGTTTGGAGAATCCAGGAGCGCATGGGTCGGAGCTGGTGGGAATGGCCCCAAAGACGGCCCTCAACGGGAATGAGGAAGTAAGGGGGAGGTGTTTTGAGATGAAGCCTCTAGCTCTGGCTGCTCTCAAACTCGTTTTGTAGTTGAAGATGACCCTGAACTTCCCATCCCCCTGCCTGTGCCTCCCGCGTGCTGGGATTACAGGTGTGTCTGTCCGGTCCTGCTTTACCCAGTACAGGGATAGAGTCTAGAGCGCCGTGCACACTGGGAAGCCCTCTTCCAGCCGAGCCCTATCCTCTGGAACCTGGTGTTTAAAGAGGTTGCAGCAGCGCTTCTCGGCCTTTTGGCTAAGATCAAGTGTAAAGAGGTCGCAGCCTGTTTAAGGATGTGTCCTTCCTGTCATTCTCAGCACAGTACCTCCATTGATTGGTTGCTGGGCTGAAGCTGCCCCACTGATGTCCTTGGTCCCCTAGCCGCTGATGGCTTCACTGTCGTTCTAGGACTTCTGCCATGGCCAAGTGATGTGGCCTCCCCTGAGCGCCCTGCAGGTGAAGTTGGCAGAGCCCGGGCAGTCCTGCAAGCAGGTGTGCCAGGAGAACCAGCTCATCTGTGAGCCATCTTTCTTTCAGCACCTCAACAAGGAAAAGGACTTGCTGAAGTAAGTGCCCGAGGGGGAGGGGCGGAGGCAAGGGAGGCCATTAGACTGTGCTCCTCTCTTAGAGTTGGGTTGACAGGCACCTGAATCCCATGTCCTGGCTGACAGTGTGGGAAGGGGAGCAGGTTGCAGCCTAGAAAAAGCTCAGCTGTCACACATGCACATATGTGATGTGTGGATGACCTTGTGTGATATGTGTGTGGATGATGTCTGCTTGTATGCTGTGTGCTCACATGTATGTATTTACGTATGTAAGTGTGGGTTTGCATATACAGTGGCATGCATGTGGAGGTCCAAGTACAACTGCCCTGGTTCCTCAGCTTCTGCCTTGCTTGAAGCAGTCCCTTTGTTCCCTCCCCTGCTGGTCTGTGAGCTTCCAGGGGACTCTCCTGCAGCTGCCTCCCATCTCAAAGTAGGAGGGCTGGGATTCGAGGTGGCTACTGCTGCACCGAGCCTCGCATGGGTCTGGGGCCTGCTACCTGCTACTTCCGTTTCCTCATCCTCAGAATAAGGGCATTCTTGAGTACACCTAACTCCTTTGTTGCCATGCCCGAATACCTGACAAAAGGGTGTAAGGGACTTCATGGTAGGAGAAGCCTGGCGGCCAGAGCATGAGGCTGATGTCCACACTGCATTCGCAGTCAGGGAGCAGAGAGAGAGGAAGGCCAGTAGCAGCTTGCTTTTTTCTTGTATTCCATAACACGGAGTGGTGTCCTACATAGTTAGGCTGGGTCTTCCTTCCTCAACTCGCCCAACCCAGGAACTCTTACACACATGACCAGAGGTGTGTCTCTTAGGCTTCGCATTGACAGCCTCTATGAACCGTGACACAGTGTCAGTGAGACGGGGGAAGAAGGCTAGATTACCTACTCGGACTGTGGAGTAAGCTCAAGACTGACAGGCTGAGACCGAAAAGCAATTCCCTCAGCCCGCTTTCCCCTCTCCTTCCCAATCCTCTCCCTTCTCTCCTCACTCTCCTCTTCCTCTTCCTCAGCCAGGAAAACTTCACAAAGCACCGGGACTTGCGGGATGCTGCCCTGTCCTCCACAGCCCCTCCAGTTTAAAGATTCAGCTTTTCTTGAAGGAGGCTAGAGGGAACGGTAACCATGGTCCATCCCATGTTCACGACATTTAGCAACTAGCAGCCGACGAGCCCTGGTGATTTTTCCTCTCCAACTCAAGGCCTGCCTGTAGCACAGCTTAAGCTGAGTCTTCAGGGACCCACACCTCATCTATGCTGCCATTCGTTATTGGGCTTTGTTGGGTTTTTTGTTTTTACTTTTTGGGGTGTTGGAGAAATGGCTCACTGTGCAGAGGAAAGCTGTAGCTCCTGCACAGCACTGGGTTTCCTTGTGACATTTTCACACAGTATGTGCTATAATCTGGTTTTATTCACACCCTCTAGTGCTCTTCCTGTCTTCCCATCCCACCCCTTCCCTTTCCTCATCCCCAGGATTTTCTTCTTTTGACTCAGTGCCCTCCCCCAACCAGCCTGCACATGAGAAACAAAACACCACAGGTATCGTTCTTGCTAGGATGGGCTTATTGGCTCAGCATGATCTTCAGGTTCGTTCTTTTTTTTTCTTTCCGACAACTGTATTTTATTCAACAACATTAGGTTTTATGTATTTACAATTTTAAATAGATGATAACATATTAAAATGTAGGTTTGCACATTGCTTTTTTATTTACACATTTTAAATTAGCTTGCGTGCATGCATAGACACACAACACACACACACACACACACACACACACACACACACACGCATGCTGAATCACCAAGCTCCCATGCGTGCCGGGGATGGCGAAGCGCTAAGACGTGGCCACAGAGCATGCAGGATTCAGGGCACCCCAGCAAAGGCCAGGCAGGTCAAGTTTGGTAGTGGGGACCAGACAGCATAGGGCCCCAGTGTGAGTGTCCACTCGAGCCTAGCCCAGCGGGGGCCTTGGCTCCATAAGGAGGAGCATGTGTTCATGTGAAGCCAGATATGTAACGTAGCTAACCTCTTAAGGCTGATTGTTAGCTAAGTTGAAAATGGTCTCCAGCTTATAGAGGTGTCACTTAATTTTTTTCTGCTATAGTGCTGTGAAAGTCAGTTATTCAGGAGACATTGTATTTCAGATTTGAGATTTAGGTTTAAAAAATTGAACTTGACCCCTGTGGGGACAGGAAGATGCTCAGGTCAAGGGCTCCCTGACATTTGAAAGCGTCGGAACCCTTCTGGCAGTGAACGTGAGGAAAGGGAGATGTGGTGAGGCCACAGCGTGAGCTGCAAGAGCACTCTCGGGCCAGCCTTGCTCCGCAGTCTGCTGCCCGCTGCCGGAAAGGCGCTCATTCACAATGTAGCCACCCACATACGCTCTCGGGCAGTCAACAGCGTCGGACCGCCCAGGAGGCCCGCAGCCATTCATTGCCTTCGCCTGTGGGCCGAGTGGGCAGAGGCTCTGCTGCCAGCTGACGGTGCGGCAGCAGGTGCCGAGATCCTCCTCCAAGACTGTGGCCCCGACTGTCTCCATGCTCCACATGGCAGCTTCTCCCTCCTGACAGCGGGGACCGTTACTCTGTGTCGGCCAGTTGGAGAACCCTGTGTTTGTCATCTGTGCTGTTGCTATGACAAAGTCCCTGACAGAAGTAACGTTGAAAAGTGTGGTTGACAGTTTGACATAAGAATGCAGTTTCAGTGCTGGGAGACAGAGCCAGGGCGATCCTGAGTGCGAAATAGCCACCAGCCTAGCCTATAGCGAGCTCCCAACCAGTGACTACCCTATCTCGGAAGAACAGGCTGGACAGCTTTCCTGAAGATCAAGACCCCGGTCCTTCACACACACAGGAGGGGGCTAGGGAGTTGAACAAACAAAAATGCCAATATCTCTGGGGACAAAAGTCTTTAAAAACATAGACATGCTTTTCTTTCCCTGTTCTTCTTCTCTTTTCTCATCCTCCTTTTTATTCTCGTCTTTCTCTTTCTCCTCTCCCCTTTTTTTCTACTTCTGTTTTAAGACAGTCTCATGTAGCTTGGTTTGGCCTTGAGCTCACTAAGTAGCTGATGATGACCATGAACTCCTGACCCTACTGCCCCCCACTTCCCAAGTGCTGGGATAGCAGGCATGAACCACCACGCCAGCTCCTCTGTGCTGTTTTGCTTTGCTCTGTTTTAAATAGTGTCTCTGTACCACAGGCTGACCTAGAACTTACTATTAGCCCAGACTGACCCTGAACTCAACTGGAATTACAAGTGTGAGCCCCCGTGGCAGCTAAATTCTAGGTGTACATCTAAAACATTTCAGTAACATCGCTTCGCCCTGGTCTTGCCCCATCGCTTGCAGATCGGTGTGTAGCCCTGTGGGAGAGGGGGTCAGGGTGGATGGATGGGTGTGGGGCTGGATGCACTAGTGTACATAAAGACGAGAGACTAAAGTCAGCTGCCATTCCTCAGTGCCTCCCTTGCTTTTGAGGACAGGGTGCCCAGTTTTCCTGGGACTCACCAAGAGAGTTAGGCTAGCTAACTGTCACGTCCCAGGGCCCTGCCGGACCCCAGGTCGCCAGCGCTGGGATCACACGTGCGCGCCCCATACCGCCTTGTTTGTTTGTTTGTTTAACATGGCGTCTAGGGACAGAGCTGTCTCCCTAGTTCTGGCTTTCACATACACCCTGTTCTTCTCACTGCCCATTCTGATGCATGGTCAGCCTCCTCCCAACAGCTCTCGTGCTGAGGTGCACATTTCCGTTGTTTCTCAGCAGCTGCAGAGTCCCAGAGCGCAGTCCCCACTCGGCACTTGCGTGTGCAGGCTGTTCTCAGCTTTCCTTCATTACAGACAAGGCTTCCCCAAAAAGCCCAGCCTCAGAGCCAGCCCCCTTCACATGTTCAGCAACGTGCTTTTCTTTGCATAGCCGCGATCCCTAGATGCAGAGAATTTCAGAGTCACGTGGATGAACTGTCTCTGAAGCAGGACAGTGGGACATGCTCCACATCTCAGAGCTGGTCCAGCAGTGTGGACAGGACCTGTCTGTCCTGGCACCTCCGTCTCATGCACCTTTCTCTTCCTCTCAGGCATAAGGTGACCTGCCAAAGCTCGGAACTGTACAAGGACATCCTGGTGCCCTCCTTCTACCCCAAGAGCAAACACTGTGTGTTCCAAGGCGATCTCCTGCTCTTCAGTTGTGCCGGGGCCCACCCCACCCACCAACGGATCTGCCCCTGCCGGGACTTCATCAAGGGCCAAGTGGCCCTCTGCAAAGACTGCCTATAGCACAGCCGCCCGAATCCACTCAGATGAAAGCGAGGCGGCTCCACTTGCCAGGGCCGGGGGCCGGAAGTCGTTCAGGGACTCTGAGCAGAGCCAGAACTGTTTGGTCCAGGGCTTGGGATTGGCACTGCTCCAGCCGCAGCCAGTGCGTCCCGGGAGTTCACGCCAAAACCGCAAGAGAGCAGAGGTCAGACCGGGGCCTGGCTTCACCTGGTGCACCGAATGCCCTCTCTGTCCCGGAACAGCAGCTGTAGGGAATTGTCTAGGCAGCTGCGCCTGGGTTACTTTTTTTTTTTTTTTTTTTTTTTAGAAAGGATAAAAGTCCTGAGACTCATTCAGCTGAAAACAAAACAAGAAGAAGAACTGAGTCGACTGGAAAGAACTTTGGGGACATTCCTAAACCCATTAATTTATTTATTTGGGAGGGTGGGGTTGGGCTTGGAAGGGAGGAAAAGGGGTTGAACCCAGTTTCCTTTTCGTTCCCACTGTTATTCGCCCACCTTCAGGGTCTGCTCATTCTGCTGCTGTTAAGCAGGATCCAGAGGGGCCGGCAGCGAGCTTGAGGGCAGCTGTGGGAGCCGGCTACTGGTAACAGGTGGCAGCAGAGAAAAAACAATGTCTTTAGGCAGAGGGCTGTAGCTCAGTTTGTACGATGCTTATTTAGCATGACAGAACCCTGGGTTCCATCCCCAGCACTGGATTACACCGTGAACACCTGAACAGGTAAGAAGTAGAGGCAGGGGGATCAAACCTTCAAGGTCATCCTTGCCTACATAGCAAAGTCAAGGCCAGCTTAGGCTACAAAGAGACCCTGTCTTTAAAAATAGAAAAAAAAAATATCTTTTATTTATTTTTTGCTTTGAAAACACAGCCAGCCACTGTCAAAGCAATGTCACGGAGCTGATGGGTCCTGCGTGTGCTTGGCTAAGGCAGCTAAAAAGCAGACAACCTTGGCGGTGACATGCCTGTGGTGCCCTGAGGATCCGCCAAGTTGTAAAGACAGGCTGCTGCTGAGAGGCTGCTTTCCAGGGTGCCCTTCCCACCCACCTACACAGCTCCGCCCTAGTTTCTGGTTAGAATTCCTTTGTGGAAGAAACACGAGATTGTGTGGTTCTTGTTCGCTGCTGTAGTGAGCTCTCCCTGCCTCTCTGTAAGGAGGGAAGTAGGAACTGAAGACTCCCAAGACCTGCCCTTGGACTTGGAAGGGAGGTCGAAGTCTCGAGCCTCAAAACAGCTAAGATCTGGATAAGAATGACAGTCCTGGAGTCAGTAGCAGGAGGGGGATTTGTGCTGTGTTCCCAGCTGGCGTCTGATGTTGCTGAAGCCCCAGGCATCTCTGTGAGACTGGTGGTTTCTGAGGAGGTAGAGGCGTTGAGGATGAATGCTAGGTGTTGTCCTCTCTGCTCCGTCAGCGGATGTGGCCTGCAAAGGGGGAGCCTGGGACTGGCTTCTAGGTGGAGCACTGTTGTTGCAAGGAGTCTGTGGAGCCCTGTGGAGGGCCTGGCAGCCCACTGGCCTAGTCAGCCATGCTCCATATCCTGGAGCCCCTTTGTGAGTCTTCCCTCCCTGCTGAAGTGTTGCTTCTGGGCGCTGTGTGTTTGTGAGTTCATAGAGACACCTCCCATGCTCCTCTCTGTGCTGGTGAATGAACCGACCTGCTTCTACCTCTTGCTGTCAGCACTGTCCACCCCACCCCCAGCTGGTAGAGTAGACGTCCAGCGGGCTGGCAGCCTGGCGCCTCCCTGTGGCCGGGTGAAGCCCCAGCCAAGTCATGGGTCTCGCTCTGAAGCAACAGAAAGGAAGATCTGCCTTGCGGTGACTAAGGGGTAGGGAGATGGGGCATGGCGCTTTTCAGGTCTGGAAAATCCAATTTGCTTGTCTCCTGATTTCACCCTGGGTGCATATGCCACATCAATTACACCTCCAGCTTTTATTTTTTTCTTCAGCCCTGAGATAGACAACGCAGGGGGCTGGGATTCCAGTCCTAGAGAATGCAACAGGGTCCCACAAGACGTGGCTAGAATCACCGCTGCCCGGGTTGGGCCACCAGGCAGGCAGAAGTTAAAAAGCCTAGCCATGAAACATGCTTATTAAGCTTTGCAGCAGCAGTTCCGTGTGCAGGATGGGAGAAAACTGACCCTTCTGCCTGATACTGGGCCTCTTGACTGCACCCCAGAGTTGGAATCAGCTTCACTTTCCAGACCTGAAAGTCCCACAGACTGTGGGCAACAGTGCTGGCATTCAGCCAGCAGGGGGCGCCCGGAGCGGAACCTAGCTGTAAGCAGGCACGGGGAGGCAGGAAAGCAGCTTCATCCCTACTTACAGAAGCAGCCCAGCCCTGAGTCCAGGGCCTCCACAACCACATTCCTCTTCTCCAGTTCAAGGCCCCGTGTCAGAAAGCCCAGGAGAGCTCTTTGTCCCCTGTCATAAATTCCTTTTCCTGTATTAGCCAGAAGGGCCTTAATTAGAGCGGGGATGTCCCCGAAATGCACACCAGCTCCCAGGCCTCAGAGTTAGCAAGGTAAGGCCAGGTGGCCCTCCAGAGATCCTGATGGGGTGTGGGCCTCCCCATGGCAGCAACGCAGGAATTCCCAGCGCTGGCTGTGCTCCCACAGCACCTGCAGAGCATCAGCGATCCTGCAGAGCCCTAGGTCTGTGTATAAGGGAAGAGAAATCAGAAATCAGGGCTTTGTTTTCCTGCGCTAGCATCACATCTGGACTGGGCTTTAGAGTTATTTTCCCCTCTGTGATGTTAGGCTCTTAAGAGAGGGGAAGCGTTATCTAATTTATTAAGAGGAAAAATCCATTTCTTCAGAAGGTGAAGGCTTTTTCAGAGCAGGAACTCCTGAGAGGGGCAGGGCCTCGCTGGATCCCAGCCCCCCCCCCCCAGCACATCTCTGAGTGTACTCCTATGCAGATGGAAGAGCTGTATGGAGTTTTGCTTCGAGTGTTTGGGGGTTTTGTGTTGTCTCTGAGATGAGTCTTTGTTTTAGGTATCTGTCAAGTGTTTGGAAATGCATCTTCCTGACATGTCTTTTCATTTCTTTGGGGTTGGATTGTGAAGGCTACGTACTGTAGAAGGCTGGCGGCAGATTGTTCGAGCCTGGAATAACTACGTATGTCCACACGCGCATGCCTATTTGTGTTCCCCGTGTGTGTGTGCACACAAGACTGTACATTTAGTGTGTCCGTGTGTGCGTGTGGAGCGTGCACAGGCACCCCCAGGACAGGGCTGAGGGCGTCAAGAATCCTCCAGCCGGCATCCTCAGGACCAGACCCTATCTCTGAGTCTGATGGTGTCTTCGTTAGAGTAGACGGGTGGCAGGCGTAGATTTATAGTCTTTCAGGAAGCTAGCAGCTTGGAGCTGAGAATGAGTTCCTTTCATTCCTGTTGCCTTCAACAGGAAGTGAAAAGTCAAAGCTTTTGGTTAGGGTTTTGTTTTTTTGTTTTGTTTTGTGACTAGACCGCAACCTGCAGTCACCCTGGCTGAAATGTCGCTGAGGCAGAAAACCAGCCTTCAGGCCAGCTCTGCAGAAACAGTGGTCCCCAAATACTTCAGCTAGTTAGCAAGATAGAGGCCAGAGCTGTCTGCTTCCTTCTTCCTCCTCAGTGGCCGAGTGCGTGTGAAGCTGAGTTGGGTCGCGTCGGAACTGTGTCTTGTTCGTAGATGAGTGTGTGCTCTTTAGCCCAGACCAGGGTGGTTTACCTAGACTGTATGTAATTAGGCGCCGCCACCCTCTCCCAAAACTCTTGGCTGAGAAGGAAAAACCCAAGTGTTGTGTTAACGACAGGCTCCGCTGTATGTGTCATGATTCCAAGCCTGGACCGCTTTATTTATTTAAAACTATTTTAGTTTCTCTACTGGCTCCTTATCTCTATCCCATCTGTCCCTGTGTGGCTGCAGAGTGTGTCTTCGTTAGAGTAGACGGGTGGCAGGCGTAGATTTATAGTCATTCAGGAAGCTAGCAGCTTGGAGCTGAGAATGAGTTCCTTTCATTCC